TTTTCACCATTCATCGGGCAGCTAATTTCATGAGTTTCCCTTAATATAGCGAATTGTTATTTTAGTTCAAGATGATTCAGATGTTCAAAATGCTGATTAAATAATTTTACATTTAGTTTTCTTTCTTTTTGTTGTATTTTTTTAGATTAATTGATTAAATTGAATTAATTTAAAAGTAATAAGTGTTAAATACAGTAAAAAAGGTTGTAAGTGAAATGTTAGATTTTAGAAGAATACTTAAAGAATGGTGAGTCTTCGGACTCATTTTTTTCGGTTAATACTTGTCTTTTCAGCAAAGGATTTCTTTCTTTTCTTGTGATTGTTTGAGTTTTGTTTTCCAGCTCTACTTTCATTTCGTTTGTAGAGGCTGTTGATTTTGTTTTCTGGCTATACAATCGCAAAAGTAACAAGTATTGTTAAAAGAACCAAGAGAATGATGATTAGATTGGAAATACTTGTGTTATGTTCAAAAGAATTGAAGTGGTTAGTTTGTATCTCATTGATTAATCTATCATGGATAGCAATTGTACCTTGCAAAGTGCTCTGTGACTCCAAATGCATGTTTATTTTAAAACTACAGTCTTCTACAATTATAAAGCTTCCAATTGTTCTTAGAGTAGATGGATTATAAGTGAAATCAGCTACGCTAAATGAGATGTTTACTGGAATGCTAAATGGAAAATCTGGACATGGATAAGTCTTATTCAATAAGTAGATAGCTTTAGTAGGACAATAAACATAGTTTTGATGAGAGCTGAACTTGACCTGAAATAAAGAAGGCTCTGTTATGTTTGTTTTATTTGAACATAGATCATCTGACCAGAGGTCAGATTTGTCGAGATCTGTGTGCTTGTAAATACATGACATCGCCTATGAATTGATTCGAACTTCGTTAGGTCCTAGTCGAACAATGTTATCTTTTTGAGTAATGCTATTTTTCTCTGTGTTGTAAATGACTTCGGTAGGTCCTGCATAATTGATGCTACAGATTTTTGATTGATTACGGTGTATTTGTAAAAGTTTGAAAGGGTCAGCAATAAAAATAAAATCATGATTTGAAATGATTTTGGTGTAAAAATTAAAATGAACTTAACTGATTTCTTTATCGTGGAAGCAGTAATTAGGTTCAATTAACTCTATTGGACATTCATGACCGCACGGTAGCGTGATGTTCAGTATATCCAATAAACCTTTTTCCATTTCGTTTCGCAACAGTTTCTGTTCCGCCATCGGAAGAACGCTTTTAATCTAAAGAAATCTAGATGTTAAATGTGTAACTAAATGTTCACACCAACATGACCGAAACAGAAATACTCAGGTCAACAAGTATTTCTGTTTCGAGAGTCCAAATTATAGTTGTAATCATCAAATCTCGATCCTAGTGTAGTTTTTTTTATCCAATATGCAAACATTGAAAACATTGAAGGTGTGTTATGGCAATTGTGGGCTTACGCGTCGAGCCACAGAATTCCTCGATTCACATGGACAAAACAATGATGCTGATTTATGTGTATATACTGAGGTTATTCAAGTGGAGGTGTCAAATCGAGATGCAGCTAATATACAAACGATAGATTACGTTGACCCTCATGCTTCCACAATTAAAATTTATGAAAATGATTTTCTTAGTTTACGAGCGGTTCCCAGGATACCTTGTGCACTGTTATGTGCTGCGTATTTGCTATGGAGCAATATGAAATTGTGTATTTTTTCGATATATTTGACACTCAACACGGAAATCATGCCTCGTGAGAGGTTTGAAACGCTTATTACTAAACTTTTTGACATGGCAAGGAATTTGCCAGGAGCAGATATGGTGCCAATTGTCGGGGATTTCAACGCCTATCATTCCTCTTGGTCGACAGAGGATTGTTCACATGTTTATAAAAGACAAAGAGGAGATTTCGTGCTTATCAAACGTAATCAGATTGACCAGATAACCAAACCCGGAATATTTTCCTCCTTGGCTAGGCGGGAGATCACTGACAAAATAATTTTCGATCGAATGTTGACAAAAAAGTTGTGATTCTTATTTGAATAAGTGTAAAAAACAAAACAATCATGAGTTCAAAATTACATTCAAGAGCAAGCAAATGACTAACAGTGACACCATACTTACTCAGGTCTAGAAGCATTTTCTTGTTGCTTTTTGCAAAAAATAGTTCCTTCTGACGAGATACATTCTCATGATTATAACTACGGATGTTGAACATAATAAAAAATGGCTACAATTTTAGAATAAAATAGATGAGTTGATAGAAGATAAAATTAAGTAGCGAATATCCAAATGAAATTGTCAAGCAGCTTGTGCTGGTAGATAATCAGATGAAAATTTGGAAAGATTTTATTAGTGGTGGTCAGTACCTTTGGTAGCTCCTTGCAGTCCATTCGTTTTCATCCCAAGATATCGTATCGTGATAAGAGATCACCATTTGTCCATAGTGATTGAACGAACAAAACTGCGGAAGAAGGAAAACAATTCATTTACTCAAGGTTATCCATGGTTTGTTTAGCTATACCCTTAATAGGCTAAATCATATGGTAGACTTTACCTCAAATGAACTCCGAGTCCCCGGTGTTTCCCTGAGCAATCTAAACAGATCCATATTCCATATGTGACACTGACCCATTGTGGATTGAGAGCACCACATTCAAAACAACTCTAAATAGAAAGAAAATATTAATTTCAGAAACAACAAAGGAATCAGTAATTTAAAAAAAGTGATAAATATGGATCAACTTACATTATTATCATTAAATGGAGGTAGTTCCTGCAGTATCTGCCTTTTCCACGGACTAGCCATGGTTAGCCATCATATTGTTGAACCTGCACCAGTGTCACCACAATGGATAACCCTACGTCCCATACAGAGTAACAAGGATTCAACTTTTTTAACCAAATCGGCTTTACCACCACACATAAAGGTTAGAGTACCAGCATTGGCAGCAGGAACGGCACCAGCAACAGGAGTATCTAAGAAATCAACTCCAGCATCATTGCTCAATTGTAGTAGCTTTTTGGATGTATTTGGGTGAACAGTTGAACAGTCCATCAAGATGGTTCCTTTCTTAGCTTTAGTGAGTAATCCATTTGATCCTGAGAAAACTTCGATCACATAAGGATCAGCAGGAACCATTGTGAACACTCGATCACATTTTCAGCAACTTCAGCTGGGCTAGAAGCAACTACAGCTCCTCCAGAAACAAAATGATGATTGTTTAATATCTCTAGTCTGGTTTAAAGAGAAGCTCTTTGGTCTGGTAACTATAGAAGAAGAAAGCGTATCACTCAAGGCATCAAGGACGACAATAACGTTTCCTAATCTTCCATCAGATTATAAGCTGTTCATATTTATCTTCTTCTTTAGATTTAATTTTGATTATATTTCTATCATTTCTTTCTCTACCTTCATTTGTTCAAAACAGAAAGATTTTTGCTCTCTAAAGAAATCTTGAAATGGACTAAAGATGGACTCGTTAGATTTTGTTCAAGTTTTGTTTTTTTGCATCTTTTCAGTGTTCGAAATTTTCTAAATGAAATTGATTTTTCGACGTTTGGACTTGTTTAGTTTATTTTAGCATTTTGATTCAATTCAACTCTAAGTTTATCAATTTTTTTGGTTCAATTTGTTTCTTTTCATTGAAAAGGTAAATAAGTATATGCAAAGTTGATAAACTAATTGGTAAAGTGGTTTCAATGTTCACCTCAGTAGGAGATTAATGCCTGGTAATAGTCTTGTAATGTACTGGAAATGTAAGCAGATTGAGATGCTATTTGAACAGTAAATTAATTTGCATTGATGAGACGACATTTACGACTCTTTTTTCACACTTTAACCCTTTATGCTTTACCAAAAGATAAATCTACTCAGCTTGACATCAACAAAATAGATGAACTTTTCTTCATTTAATTCATTTTACATCTTTCTTTCTTTGCCTTTTTCCCCTAATACTTTTACCCTTTTCTGCCTCTCATGATGAATCCGGTCCATTATATCGATTAGCAAATGGATCCAAGTTTCTTCAACTTAAAGTTTATCTCTACATCTTTTGTAACCAGATTTATCTAGAAAACTTTCCGGATACTCAGATGTAATAGAAGTTGAGATGAGTTTAGCATCCAGAATCGAGAAAATTTGGTGGATTTTTATTATACTTTGCACGCTTTGATATGCATTTAAATACATGTACCATAATGTTACCATTTGCTCTTGAATTTTGTGCTTATGTTGGCTGTATTATACTAAATACAAAGCTGAGTCAAATCAATGACAATTTGAATCACAGCTCTGCAGGATAGCATATTCAATCTCCGTTAATAGATCGAATCCAATGTGGAATGTCAATTCTAGCTAATTTCTTGATTGTTTTACTAATGTAATGAGAAATGAAATATATTTGAGTCATTTAATAATTAAAAATCGAAATGAAAGAGTATCTGACACCAAAAATAAAGAATCTTGTCATTTGAAATAAACAAAATTTTACGAAAGCTGACATTAAAAAGCAATGTTAACTTTTATCAAAAGTCCTATAGACAATTCGGTCACAGTTGCACTCTTAAGTTGAAATAATTTTTGTAATTCCGTTATTTGACCTCAGATGAAATTTGAAGGTCATTTTCTAAGAGTACAAACTTTTTCAGATGGGTTGAAGTTTGTCAAGAGTGAAAAAATTATACCGTTGGAAAGATAAACCAAACGTGATTGAAAATGTCTGCCTTAATAGCATATTGAAAATGATTAGGGCTAAAGCGAAATCTTAACATTATCCTGAACATTGGCATGACGATCGAATGATTAGCTTTAAAGATTTTGTTTATTAAAATTCATTTAAAGATTGAACTAAAATATTTCGAGAGAAAGGTTTGAAATCGAAGCAATAGGTGTCAGCATTTGCTAGTCATTTCAACAAAAGTAACTTTCATCTTGTTTGAAAACGACTTGACGTATTGAGTTAGTGAAAAAGTTTTGTACGAAAATTGCGTTTGAAAATTTCATTACTGATTAAAACTTAAATTGAAACAAATGATTCTAAGTAGCTCCAATTGCTTTGCATAAAGGTAAGGTAATCCAACTGATAGACTTAAGACTGTCTGATATTTTGTGTCAAACATTTGATGCTTCACCTTGAATCAGTTTCTGTTTACAAAATAAACTTTTCACCTTTACAACAATTTGATCGAGGTTCATCAAACAAAACATAATTCATTTTGAGCAAAATTTCCATGTTTCGCTCAAAATTGATTCAAATAGATTTGTATAAAATCTCATCTTTCAAATCATTGGACCATTAACATTGGGTACAACTTTTCCAGACTAGAAATGAATTCATATTTTTGTTTCTTTTTCATTCATTTTCAAGTATTTGATGGAACAAAACAAACAAAAGAAAAGTAAAAAACTTTACTAATGAATGAAATTGAAAACTAGTTTTCATGAAACACTATTTGCATAATCTTTTTCAGGATTAAAACACTTGTTCCTCATGACAATTTAGACGGAAGAAACAATCGGAATGCAAAAGAAGAAAAATTTGCCTCAAAATTTCATTCATTAATAAATATTCCATGTGATGGAAGAAGATACATTTATTAACTTGAATCTCGACATGGTTCAATAAAGTGTTGGCAAAAGGATTGAAAACAAATTCCAAGATGCATTAAGAATCAAAAGTAAATGATGAACTTTGAAATTGAAATTTGAGTGAAAACATGAATAAAATGAACCAAAAAACTTGAGGAATAATTTGATGGGAAAAAACAACAAAAAGCATTGACCTTTTATCAACGACAAAAACTCAACAAGATTCACTTGAAACATAATTTCAACAATTAATTGCAATTTAAGAAGCTCATTAATTACAAGTTTTTCATTTCACTTTGCTTCCTAATTGATGATCTTGCAAATTGTATTACTCAAAAAGAAATGATGATTTAACCATTTTCGTCAATTGTACTTGAACCATTGTCTATGCACTTTTGAATACTTTAAAATGTACATTTTGAACGTCATAAAAGGTTAATTGAGCCCAAAGACAATCATTTTTTCATCAAATGAATAGCATTTAAATTGACACTTGAAGTGTTAATGAGTAGATGAAATGACTAAGCAATCAAAACTTTTTTTCTCTCAAAATTCATTTGCAAAAGCTGCGAACTTTTTCATCATGTTTTGCACGAGTACATGATACACATTTGCAAAAGCAGCGAACTTTTTGACTTGAGAGTAAAATGCATTTGCAGTGACATTCACTTCTACTCTTGAAAGAAATTAATTTCTCAAGAAACTGCGAAAAGTTCTGTTCGAATTTGATAATCGAAAATAGACTTGTAAATCTAATCCAATGTGCACAAGTGATCATTGATGACAATCAATGTAAATGAATATCATTCAAAATGCATGGACTTAATTTCAGAATGAACATTTTCCTTGTCAGTGTAAATTTCTTGCTTGTTAGCTGACTGTTTGTACAATGACTCCAATCTAAATGGCTATTGATTCTGAATAAAAGGTATTTTCATATGTAAAGTTGATCATGAATAAAGGATGATATTGATGAGTAGGAAAATAAAAAAGAAATGAATGGAAAAATAAAATAAAATTCAAAAGGGTTGCAAAAGTTAACAATAAGTAAGAATGAAAAGTGAGGGAAAAACAAGTTAAAATGAATGCAACGAAAATGTTGATGATGATGAGGAAGATGATGGCAAAAATGTGTAGAGTTGGTGAGTCAGAGATGTGCTCATTTTGAGAAAATCATTTTAGCCATTTCATCATTGATTGTCTGAGCATCAACCAGAATCATCTTGAACCTTGAATCAGATTGTTTTTTCAATGTTTCCTTTCCTTTTGCCCATCAATGATATTTTCATGTAAAAACTTTATTGAATCGTTTTTGACAGATGAAATTGTTGAAACTCTTTGATTCATTTGTGATCAACTTCAATGTCTATCCAAACTTTGATTACTTCACTATCGCTGGTTCATGTTGAACAGTAAAGGGTCATTTCAAGTTTAAAATGAACTATTGTGTTGTACCAAGTAACGTCAGTGAGCCCATCAAGAGTGAAGATGATGCAGAAAGACAAACTCAGATTACACTTTACAAATTGCTTTGTCCTCCATTGATATTTGCCTGTCTCGTTTCCGTCACTCTCAATGTTGGCCTCATCATTGTGGGACGCATGGGAACACATAAGAAGTCGCCCGTTCTAATACTCTCGCTTAACCTTGCCTGTACCGATACAATGGCCTCCCTTCTTAATGCACTTGGATTTGTTTTCAACTCTTACCTTCCAGTTGTGTTTGACATTCACTTCGACACTTGTCCCTTCCTGGCTCTAGAAATTGTCCGCTGTTCCGCTTTAATATCATCAGTACTTCACCTTTTGGCATTAGCCTTTATTCATTACAAAGGAATCGTTAGACCTCTTCATTACCGGTAAGAGTTTCATGTTTTACTTGGAAATAACCATTAGTTGCAACCATTGAATAGTTTCTCAGCAATTTTGACCAGAATCACTATCGATAACGTTTAGTGATGGAAACTTTTCAAAAGCAATTGTCTTCCAAAAATAATATCAAACTATGGACAGAGTTGATCATTTTCAAACTGAAATTACTAAGAATTTTCAATCGAACTACTTCGAAAGGGAAATAGTCAATTAAATGAATTTGAAATGATAATTTCATTTCCATCAAGAAATTGACTCTTAATTTTATTCATAAACTAACCTAAATTGATAGTCATGTTAGATCAATAAAGTGGAGTATCTTTAATGAAATTTTTTCCGATTTTCATCTCAACTTCGATTGACACTTTCAACCAAATATCAGGAAAACTGAGTGAAAGCTAAATGATCAATTCTAATCATTCTTTTTGATCTCTTTGCTCTTTGATCTCTCCATTCTTACATGATAATATTATAATCACTTAGTTGAACAAGCATCATCAGCCTTGATTTACCTGTTTGTTTGGGTAAACAAAATAAAGTCAACATATTCTGATTAGAGTTAATAGTTTCACTCACTTTATTCATCTTTACCTTAGTTTATCCATTGTATTGAACACCTTGTCCATCTTCAGCATCTTCATCGAAATGGATCATCTTTTTTATCCACTAGGTACGAAACGCGAGACTTAGGTTGAGATTTGACCCATAATAGTGGCATAATATTCTTAACTCAAAATGAAAAATCTTTTTATTAGCCCGATGGAAAGGCATGAAACTTCATGTAGATGAAAAATTTAAAGCGATGAATTGAAATAAAATCATTTTTATCGCGTTGGATTTGTTTGAATTGTGATGTTAACATTCATAGTTGTAAACTACTTTCTTTTTGAACTCTTTTTACTAGAAGCTTTAGGACTGTCATAGAGAAGTTCCCAGAAATCATCTTCTTCTGTTTTCTTCGAGTTTTTCTTATTTGAACTTCCTTCGCCGAAGTTGATCAATGTTTTCTCTTCCTTGCTGATATTAATAGTCTTCGAAGCCGTTGAATTGGTGATAGATTGATTGTTACTGCTACTATTTAGTTGTTGGACATTAGGTGTAGACTTGGAAGTTGATAAGAGGCTTGATGATTCCTTCCTTCCAACACCTTCATTTCTATAATCACAGTTATCTTCTTTATAACCCTCTTGATAGCTTCCACCCTGATCTCCAGTTCCATAATCATATTGCTCTCAGAATTAGGATCACTATAGAGAGTTGATAAATCTGTCCATCCTCTTTTGGAAACATCAACTACCTGAAAAGATTAAAAAAGTTATTAATATCTAATTAAAAGCTTCGTAAAAATATAATTCACAGCCTTAGAGCCAATCGTTGTTGCTTATCAACCTTAATCAGATCGGCTTCTCGGAGGTTGAGCACTATAAACAAACCCGGAATATTTTCCTCCTTGGCTAGGCGTAAGATCACTGACAAAATAATTTTCGATCGAATGGTGACAAAAAGGTTTTGATTATTATTCGTATAAGTGTGCAAAACATAAAACAATCACTATACTTACTCAAGTCTAAGGTTCAGGTTAGAAGCATTTTCTTGTTGCTTTTTTGCAAAAAACTGTTCTTTCTGACGAGATACATTCTCATGATTATAACTACGGATGTTGAACATAATAAAAAATCGATACAATTTTAGAATAAAATAGATGAGTTGATAGAAGTTAAAATTAAGTAGCGAATATCCAAATGAAATTGTCAAGCAGTTTGTGCTGGTAGATAATCAGATGAAAATTTGGAAAGATTTCATTAGTGGTGGTCAGTACCTTTGGTAGCTACTTGCAGCCCATTCGTCTTCATCCCAAGATGACTGTTTTCCGCTATTTTTAGATGCATTGGAAGCCGAACTCGACGAGAAACTAGGAATGACTCGCGAAACATAGTCTTTTGCTGTTGAAGATTCAATGGACCAACTTTTACCAGCTGCTTCTGTGACGATCTAATGAAAAGACAGAAATTTGTAAGACTAATTGGTAATTTTAAAGTTTTGTTTCACACATACCTTATCACGATACAAAGCAGCAGCTTTTGAGTTATATCTTTCACTCAGTGGCATAGAAGGGTTCCAATCAGGTTGACTGGAAAGAAATTCCTTTGCTTTTTTATTACCACCAGCTTTCATCTTAGCCAATTCAATATCCTTCCATTTGTCCATAGTGATTGAACGAACGAAACTGCGGAAGAAGAAAAACAATTCATTTACTCAAGGTTATCCATGGTTCGTTTACCTCACCAGAAATTACCTCAAATGAACTCCGAGTCCCCGGTGTTTCCCTGAGCAATCTAAACAGATCCATATTCCATATGTGACACTGACCCATTGTGGATTGAGAGCACCACATTCAAAACAACTCTAAATAGAAAGAAAATATTAATTTCAGAAACAACAAAGGAATCAGTAATTTAAAAAAAGTGATGAATATGGATCAACTTACATTATTATCATTAGTTGGACGCAGTTCTTGAAGTATCCACCTTCTTACTTGAAAGCTAGAAAGTATCCGCTAGCATCTTCATTGAAATGGAGTGAAATGGCAAGTCAAGTCTTTTTTATCCACTAGGTACGAAAGTGCATAATGTATTTGGAACAGACTCATATTACTATTAATATGATTCTTACTACTTTTTACCTTTGCTTTGCCTTCCACATCTAATCAATTCTCATGTGAATATACCCATGAATATACTCATTATTTCCATTCACAATTGTTGATTCATTCAGCTCAAGATTTTCATTCTCATTTCTTAGCTTCTAAGGAGAAAAAAATAGCTAAATAGATTCAAAGTAAAAACGTCACAATTCAATTACTGTTACAAAAACTAAATGTCATACAAATGCTGTAATTAATCAACTAAAAGTTGCAATCAAAATGTGATACTCTTTTAAAGAATTAACAAGCAGAGTGTTTTTGTATCAAATATCGCTTGTAATACAACTTTGTTGTAACCTAACCTAACCTGACCTGCCCTAACTTAGCATTACCAAATATTTAAACATTTAAAGTCACCGAAACAGGCAGCTAATTTCGCTATATTGGTCTTCGACAAGGCCTGATGTACCGATAGCTACCAATGAAATCTCGATATCGATTTACGATTCATGAGATTCCCTCGCAATAAACATTTACCATTCACCACAACCTTTAAAGGCTTTGGTGAATTAAATTTCGAGATATTTGGTAATGTTAGGTTAACTTAGGCCACAACAAAGTTGTACTACAAGCTAACATTTATAATAGTAAAATCATCTGATACAAAAATAGTAGTTCATTTCTTTCGAAAAGTCAAGGTCATTGGATGGACAATCAACTGTCACAAGAATAATGCAAAAAATTGTAATTTGATCTTCAACAATGTTTGCTCAAGATTGATCAAATTGTTTTAAGGTAACTCAGTTACCGTTTTAACCGCAAAATTCAAACGACACTTGATTCCTTTACCATAAGACTTGCTTGAACCTAAAGCTAATTCAGCATATTTTCATGTTAGACTTTTCTTGAGCTGCATCGAGTCTTATATATTTTGTTTTATTCATGGTTCAATGTGCTGACTATGATTAATAAACAATTGAAACGCCCAGTAATATTAAACTCTGACATTTTACCGACCTGAATAAAGAGTGATTTAGATTCGTTTGCTGAGCATCAGTTGAACCGTGAAATTTTCATCATTAGTAGTAAACATGTAATCAATTGGCTGGTAAAAAAGTAAGCAGAAAGCTTTTAAGGCAGAGATGATTATATTGAATTGTGATTATCGCTATCAATAACAAGTTCCGATTTATTCAATTGACATGAGGCAAGCAATAAATAGATATTGATAGAGTAAAATTTCAACCTTCTTTTAACTCAATGTTTTTCCTCTGACGGTGTTTCACGCTTAATTCATTTCGTTTCATCAAGAAAAATTGAGAACTAAAATATTTTCATCTTTTTTCTACCTTCCATGTTACATGTTGAAACTTTTTTTCCTCGTTTTTCCTCTCAACTCTATCTTTGTAAATATTCATGTCCATGAGATGGTAACAGGTTGATGAGTAAAATTTCATTTCAAATCCAGGTCGATTCAGATAAACAAAACATTAATAACATGAAAACAACACAGTAAAAGCACTTTTTACTCACTTAATACTTGTTCAATTGAATAAACAAAACGAGAAAAAAAGATCAAAAAACTAAATTCATTATTCATCAAGATTCGTGGATATTTTCATCATTCACATGATTAACTTGTTAACATTATCATCATGTTGGGTGAAGAAGAAGAAGAAAAAATCTCGATGGAATTGTCAAAATTTTTCCTTTTCACTCCAATTATCATCATTACCATCATGTTCATCATCACCATACTCATCGCTACAATCATTACCTTAACCGTTTCAATTTTTAAACACTTGAAATTCAACTTGATAATGTTCAAGTTCAAGGTTAGACAGGAAATTAAACTTTTTTTTTGTTTTCCAAACGAAAAACAAAATTCATAATTTTATTATGATATTTTTAATCTTATTACGTTCTTGCATAATTAATCAGGTTATAGTTTGTTGTTTGTAAAGATATGAATAACTGTTGGAGTAGAGTTGATTATTAGATTGATTTATCGAAAAAATCGACGAAATGCATCGAGAGTGACCTAAATGAGATCTATCAATCGATGAGAAAATGAAATATCTGAAATGGAAAATTGCCAATCTCTGTGTTGAAGAAAATTCTTGGTGAAATATGCGCACCTAGAGCACCAATTAGGCCCAGTCTTCAGTTTAGGGTAGCTTCAAAACTCTCTGAGCTATCAATGTAGCTTACGAACTTGAACATCAAAAGCACTTGTCTGGATACTTTCTCGACTCTGTCGCTTTAATCGAAGTCACTATGATTTCGTAAATTTTCAAATAACCTTTTTTGAATAGCTCACAGCATTAAAAGAGGCTTCATGAAACTTATGGATTTATTAGAATTGAAAGAAATGATATTAAATGAAGGAATTGTGTTTTATTTTTTTGTGATTCTCTTTTCTGTTTTTTACAGAAAAACTATTATTTTGCACATCTATTTCAATTAAAGTTGTATGCATGGAAAATTGAAAATGAAAATAATTTATTTCAATAAAAAGTAATAATTGAAAATGAACTGAACAATAAATGAAAATTCAAATTAATTTTTGTTCAATGTGTTAAATCATTTACATTTCGACAAATCAATCGAGTCATCGTGAAGCCGCTAGAAACCTCTGTCCTCTGAATATTCTTCTTCAGTTTTATTTTCGGAGACCAAGAAAATTGTTGGAATTACTGGGGCTGAAGATTTCTAGTGTCAATTGCCTCAAAATGACCTTGTGAAGCGTAATTATCCAAAATTCCCACCATACAAGCCTAAGTCACTGGATCGATTGAAGGTTCACTCGAGGTCTCATCATATGGTAACACAGATTGACATATTGACATACAGTCTCCACAGAATTTACAAAATTTTTCATACAAATGTCGATTATGCAGCTACATCTGATAGTGTCGATTATTTTTTATTGAGATGATGATGGATTTGCCATTTCGAACTGAGGAGAACAAAGCTGGGATGGGACTCTATCATCTTGTGAAATTTCTGTCCACTGTACAAAAAATTCTATTGCTTTCTATGAAGAAGTTCGATACTTCGATTTTTAGTTTGTTTGTTAGGGATCGTGGGAGAATAGAATAAAAATGGAATGTTTTATTTTATTTTATGCCCATTTTCAAGTCTTGCGGGTGTTTAAATTTTATTTAAACACCAATAGATAAAGGTTCAAATCTTCAAAAGCTCAATTTTATTGTTTCGCTTGGAGCACAAGAAGCTTCAATTTTCAAGAGATTTATTCAAATTTTAGAGCGGAAATGAAATTATAATCAATTCTTTGGGAATTTAAAACTTTAAGTTCGTTCGATTTCCGACCCTTTTTCGTCTGACTCTTCAAAATTCCCTAATCGAGTAATTGACGAATAAATGAATCACTACTCGTTATGAAATACTCAGCCCAAAAGAGCTCATGATACAATGGGAAACAACGATTTCAACTTCTTAACAATTAAACGAAATTAAACTTGTCTTTTGATGTTCATCTTTTACACGTCGCTATAAAACAAACTGTTTCCCGTGAATGAAAAATTTATTAGCTACTCTGATCATGAATTATCAATGAATGCTGGGAGTAAACAGTTTAACGCAACAAATAGTAATTTAAAATGGTAAAGGCTGCATCAAGCAGTTCAATATATTCAGAGTAGGATATAATCAACTGTGACGTATTTCATTCAATAGTAATCAACGTTTATTGTCAAAGATTAATTGTAATTCATGTCATTTAGTTTCATCACTATCCATAAATTTTATATTTCGTGAGTTGGTGTTGCCTTTAATTTATGTAGTCAAGTAACTCTCATGTGTGTGCTTTTAAATACTCAATAAAAGGTGGTTCCAGTATTGATGAACTAATAATAAGCATCAACTACAGCAATGACAAGTAGCAAAGTATTACTAATAATAAACTGTAGTTTGTTCATCAAACCAATAATAGCCTAAGAATCTTAAGAGTCTAAGCATGACGTATTTTCAGTTAAAACTGGAAATTCGTATTCGAAACGAATGTATTAATTGAAAACATGTGGGAAATTTCATGCAAATGGTCTTCAATTTGCTTAAGTTCATCAGCTCAAACTAGTTAACCCACAAGAGTGTGATAGAATTGATCAAATTGTCATTCGAAATTTGCTTTTTTTCGATGAAAAATTGGCTTGTTTCTGTGTTAAAAAGACCAATGATTTGAGCTCTTCCTATCGATTCTCAGGCATTTTGAGTAGTCACGATGCTATCTTTTTGCGATGTAACTTGCTCTTAAGCTTATACAAGTTTCAATCTTGACTTGCCTCTGATTAACATCTTGAATATTATCTGAATATCTGTACTTTAATGTAATCGGAAATGAAAAGGTAATAATAAATGTCGTTAACAGGTTTTGGGCAACAGTTATTGTATCATAAAGTCAAAGTTGAATGTAAAGTGAAAAATCAATATACATCAAGTGTTAATTCATTGTTTATCATTAAGGTAACTTTTCCTTTTCTGGTTCAACTATCAAGTTGACTTAAGTTTGGCGATTAAGTCAACCAAAAAAAGCTACTTTGACTATTGTAATTACCATTATTATCATTATCATTTCAACCCATTTTCACAGATGAATGCAATAAACAGACGCATCAAGTCTCATCAATCTTGATAATATTGACTCAATATTGTGATCAACGGCAAGAAATGGACATTTCTCACCTTATAAATTACATTCCCAGTTGATCCCGTCTTATCAACTTACAATAACTAATCACTCCCAGACATGATAATAGCTACAAATAATTGCATGATAATCATGGGCAACAATGTTTGAATAAATGTCTATATTTTTAAACCGTAAATTATCAAAGCTCAAATATTCTGCTTATAATTGCAGTCATTAACTCAGGTTAATCATCAGCTCTAATTGCGTTAATTATCACCACTTGCTTCATCATTTAATTAGATTATCACTTATTTCATTTTCTTAGAAATTCATAGCCAATTATCTTTGATAGAACAATTAAAATCTGATTCAACTTTTACTTCTATTCATCACTTCCATACGATAATTACTCAAACACAATCTATTTAAATTGCTATTAATCGCTATCGACAATTAGTCCCATCAAACACATAAATAAGTATTTGAATATTAATAGTTATAAAGTTACTAATACTTGGTAATGTGAATTCATTTTGAAGTTTCAAGTCTTTTCGTAACTTTAAATTCATTTCCAGTTGTCTAATGATTCGACTTGATGTAACTTGATTTCGGAGCTTTTAAATCAAGAGATTTGACCAACAAAAGTATCATTTTAAGCTGTCAACTGTATCATTTTAAAACCATCTTTACTTAATCAGACGGAATCAATTTGATTCAATTTTTGCCTCGAAGCCTTTTCTTGATCATTGCTTTCCATCCTTTTATTAACATTACAAGTTTTCAATTTTCAATCACAATTGTCTCAACCCACGCATTGGAAGGAATTAGCAAAGCTGTTAAAGGATTAAACTCACAAATGTCATTTGTTGATTAAAAGCAATGATGAATTGAAACATTGTTTTACCAAAAGTTTCCTACGCAGCAAAAGTGAATCAAATTATTCCAAAAAAGATCATTTTTCTCATCAAAATTGTCCATTCAAAAAGAACAACAAAAATCATTTGGAATAATTAAAGTAAATTGTCGAATTAACTTAAATTTGAATAAAATGTGAAATAAATGAGTTGCAGATGCATTAAACATTAAACATTTTCTGGTTACAAGTCCTGGTTAACCAGAAACTCAAGTTGGCATTCAACAATTACAAATGATTGGATTGAGTGTCTCGACCCTTTGGTCAACTTTTTGAGTTCGATTAGAGTTCAAATGTAAATTCCTGATCTAAATTGAAATTATGATCTGATGAAGAATCAACTTGACTATGCAAGTGGAATACATTTGGTTCAATAAAACTCTTCGTGTTTCCAATCATAAACCTTGTTGATTAAATGATGTTGAATGTTTAATAAAATGGAAATGGGAAGCTGAAAGGAAACTTTCTTGTCTAATCAATCTAATTGGTTTGCAGTTCATTAAAGTTAATTGGATTGTCAATTACAACTAGAGATGAACATTATTGGAAATCAATTTAAAAAGATCGAGAAACAATTTTATTTTCTGATTGTATTTCAATTTAATCGGGTTCAATTGTATCTCATGGCTTTCCAGGTTCAATACTTGTTAACTTGGCTAATCAAATGTTCAATGAGTTGTGAATGGAAACCACAGCAAGAAGGTGAAATGTACAAAGTAAAATTGATATAACATGGAAACGTTACTTCGAAAGGAAAGGGTGAAATGAATGGAAAAATTGATCAACTGTAAATAAACTGGAAAAGTAAATTTAAAATTTGCTAATCAATTGAATAAAAAAATTGTAATATGAGCAATGAAATTATATTCAAGGAATGATTATTGAAGTAAAACTGTTCATTTTTCAATTGATATCGAGCTCTGAGTTTGGAAGAAACAGCAATTTTCTCAATCGATTCCTGTGTAAACAGTTGATAAGTCAATTGTTAGACCATTTAATTTTGTCCACTGAAATATTGGACATTTGTTTGCTCACAATGCAATATTAATCAGATCAATATTGATCAAAGACTGTCCATGTTGAACCATTGTGTTAACAAGACAGAAACTGGATTATTTATGATTGTTGAGCTAGTTTTATGGGAAACTCAAAGTTGTCACATTGCAACCGACTATTAGAAGCTCATGTCATTTTTTGTCAGTTTTATTTTACGATTCATAGATTTTGACTGAAACTTGCTAATATCATTTGGTCATGCATTGTCATTGTGGTTTTTACCAGTTGCTGGTCATGATTATTTTATCCAGCATCGTTGGTTTGGTTATGTATTGAAAATTGAAATCATTAAATTACAATTTTTAAAGGTTGAAAGATTTCAATTCTAAGTGTAGACTCGAATCTCGATCATTTTGCATTATCGTTGTGACAAGAAGTTAGAAACATTTTATTCGCCTTTTATTGATCGACACTTGTTGAGTTGTGTGTATTGAAGCCAGAAACAATCATCATTTGGTCGGTTGGGTTGAGTTAGTTTAGGTTAAAGTTTTTTGTATGCTTCAGTGTTTGACGCTAACTTTGACTTTTCTTGCAAGGCTAATGGTTAGAGTCCTGAGGTTATGCCATCCACTAAACCAGAGGTCTCAAGTTAGGTTAGCTGTGAGCAGCTTAGGTCGTAACAGAATCGAGTGACTTGGTGAACAGACGATCTTAATTAACGGTGATTATCGGTTAATAGACTAGCATTGTTACCTTCTAGTGTCGTACAAGACTTGACAAACTACGACCTAAGCTGTTCACAGCACAGCTAACCTAACTTGGGACCTCTGGGTGAGTCGGATGGCAGGACTCTAACCATTAGCCTTGCAAGCTTTGTCAAGTTTTGTCTGACACTGGATGGTAAAAATGTTGGTCTATTAAGCGATGATCACCCTTAATTAAAACACTTGTCTGTTCACTAAGCCACTCGATTCTGTTACAATTTACAAAGCCTTTTCTCTCAGCACCATGAGTCAGTCAAGATTTTGAAGAACCTCATGTTACTCAGGGTGCTG